AAAAAAAAAAAAAACCGTCGCCCCTCTTTCCTCTCTCTGTCATAAAAACCCATCCCCCTTCTTCTGGTAAGTCGTCCCCACGCGGCCACCGGGCTGGCCTTGGTCTAGTTGCGGCTGGAAGCCCTTTCTGGCACTGCTGGAGCCCAGTGGGCAAAGAGCTGTTGGTGGTTTTGCCTCCCGACTTCCCCAGCGCCGGAAGGGTCGCCGGCTGCCATTTCCTGCCCAGACGCAGGAGTCTGCCGAGTCGACAGAGGCCAAGCCCTGTGCACCATTTTCTGATAGAAACTGTATTTAACATTATTTGAAATAAATCAATATTAATCCCAAGAGCTTTCATATTGAATAATTGAGAATCATAACTAAATAGCGGAAGCATACCTGATGGATTCATGTGGACTGATTAATTGTATTTGGAATTTGGAAATTTTCCAAAAGACCGTGAATTATTCCTTATTTTCTTTCGGACGTATGAAAGAATACAGAATTTAGCTATTGAAGAATGAAACTTCTTCTCTACTATTGATGCCCTCCCCTTTTCCCATTTTATATTGATTAATGATGATTGGTACAATTAATGAGAAAGTTGTCGGTTGCCAACTTTCAACTACTACCAATTTCATCATTTTTTTTTATTATTCCTTATGGGTTATCTTAATGTGCATCACCTTATTTTCACGGCCTTTGGGGACTCCACCCATAAATAATTTTGACCCAAATTATATGTTATTTAGGTCCTTAAGTTTAATATTATTATTTGTTACGTCATCAAATAATAATATTACCGAGTGTCCACATTTAATCATTCCACAATGTCAATTAAGTTCCTTAGCCAATGTACAATAATTTGATCACTGAATTTGGCTAAACAATATAATGACCCAATGTATTAATTACACATATTTAATCCCAAATAGATCTAATAATCTCCCACTGGATTAAATATGTGTCCTGATAATACATTATACCTTATGAGCTGAACTATCAATAATCACATATATTACCATGATTAAATGACATAGATCAAATTATGGAACATGTGGCATGAAAATTACATGAATGTGATCAGCACATGTCAATTTTCAACTAGTCCAAACTTAATGAGATCGTTAAGTAACAAAACATAATGTACAAAGTGTCATGAACCAAAACTTTATTTCTGATCAGAATAAGTACTTTAGACATCATCGAATAAAAATGACAAAAATATGTAGCAAATACTCCCACTAGGGTGAAGCTTCCTGAATATGTAACACACCAATATGAGCAGTATGCTCGTAAAATACCATAGGTGTTACACCTTTAGTTAGGGGATCTGCTAACATAAATTTTGTCCCTAAGTGTTCGATGGAAATTTGACCACTTTGTACCCCCTCCTTCACAACTAGGAACTTAATGTCAATATGCTTTGACTTAGACGAGCTCCTATTGTTGTTGGAGTACAGAATGACTGATTTATTGTCACAAAAAATCTTAATAGGTCTTTCAACCTCTGGAATGATTCACAGCCTTGTGACAAAATTCCTTAACCAAATTCCCTGTTGTGATGCTTCAAAACACGCCACAGACTCAGCTTCTATAGTGGAAGTGGTAACAAGTATTTGTTTAGCACTACTCCAGGAAATGACACCACCAGCCAACATAAATAAATACCTAGACGTAGATTTTCTACTGTCTTGGCACCCAGGAAAATCGGAGTCAGAATATCCAACGTTCTCCAAATGGTCTGATCTCCTATATGTGAGCATATAATCCTTAATTCTCTTAAGATATCTTATCACCCTTTTGGGTGCTTTCCAGTGATCCAATCCAGGATTACTAAGGTATCTACCCAACACACCAACTATATACGCTAAATTCGGACGCGTACATACTTGAGCATACATTAGGCTCCCAACAGCCGAGGCGTAAGGGACCTTTTGCATTTCATGGATTTCCAAGTTTCCCTTTGGGCATTGACTTAGGCTAAATTTGTCTCCTTTAGCCACAGGGGTATTTCCTGTTTTGCAATTCTACATGCCAAATCGCTCAAGCACTTTATCGATATAGCTCTTTTGTGATAACCCTAGAATACCTCGAGATCGCTCCCGGTGTATCTGGATTCCTAATACAAAAGACGCTTCACCAAGATCTTTCATTTCGAAATTATTCGAAAGAAATTTCTTAGTTTCGTGCAACATGCACATATCGTTTGTGGCAAGCAGAATGTCATCCACATACAAAACCAAAAAAATTAATTTACTGCCACTGAACTTGTGATAAACACAATCATCAACAACATTCATCTCAAAACCATACGAGATAATTATTTGATGAAATTTGTGATACCACTGTCGAGACGCTTGTTTGAGCCCGTAGATGGATTTTCTTAATTTACAAACCATTTTCTTCGGGTCATCGACCTCAAAGCTTTCTGGTTGTACCATATAGATCGTCTCATCAGTGTCACGATTGAGAAACGCTGTCTTTACATCCATCTGATGTAGCTCCAAATCAAAATGTGCCACTAGAGCCATGATTGTTCTAAAAGAGTCCTTCGAGGATACCGGAGAAAAGGTCTCTTTATAGTCAATCCATTCCCTTTGAGTATAGCCTTTAGCCACAAGACGTGCTTTATACCTCTCCACATTACCATTTGAATCCCGTTTAGTCTTAAAAATCCATTTGCAACCAACGGGTTTTGCATCTTCTAGTAATGGGACAAGTTCCCAAACCTTATTGTCTTGCATTGACTTATACTCTTCACGCATCGCTTCGATCCATTTATTTGAGTTGGGATCCTTCATGACTTGTTTGAGATTGATTGGATCATCCTCATTCAAGCCATCCACATTCTCATTTTCTTGAAGAAACACCAAATAATCATCCGGAATGGCATTTCTGCGTTCTCTAGTGGATCTCCGCAAAAGCGTTGGCTCTTGAACTGTATGTTCTTGAGTTTGTTGAGTTTGTTCTATAGGTACATGTTCAGGTCCGAGTTCAAAATGAACAGGCTCCTCAATTGTATCTTGAAACTGTATGGGAGTTGGAATGACTATTTCCTCTTGAGGGATCGGGTCAACCACTTTGGTGATTTCCTGATCCTAAAAAATAAAGTCCGAAACTGTATTTCTCCCCCCAAACTCAACATCCTCAAAGAACGTGGCAGTGCCCGTCTCAAAAATATTTCTTGATGTGGGATCATAAAATTTATACCCCTTTGACCATTCCGAGTAACCAATGAAATAACAGCTAACCGTACGAGGAGCTAGCTTTGGTTCATTTGGCCTATAAGGCCTCGCCTCAGTTGGACAACCCCACACCCTAAAATGCCGTAAGCTAGGCTTGCGCCCAGTCCAAAGTTCATAGGGTGTTTTAGCAGTCACCTTAGTTGGTACTCGATTTAGGATGTAGACTGCAGTCTTTAGTGCTTCCCCCACAAGGATCGTGGTAAAGTAGATTGGCAAATCATACTTCGTACCATATCCTTTAATGTGCGATTTCGTCTCTCAGCAACACCATTCATGCTAGACGAACCTGGCATAGTGTATTGAGGAACTATTCCACACTCCTTAAGGAAGTCAACAAATAGGCCTGGACGTTGTTCACCAGATCCATCATTTCTGCCGTAATATTCGCCTCCACGGTCAGATCTGACGATCTTAATGCGTTTGCTGAGTTGATTTTCAACTTCAGCCTTAAATGCTT